CCCCCGCCTCCCCCCATGCAGGCAGCACGGCGCAGGGAGGGCTTACCTTGGAGGGCTTCCCCTGGAGAGCCTGTGGGTAACTGAACTGTCTCCAGTGCTGTACTGCCAGATCTGCCTGCAAGGAAAGCGTTTCTAAAGGAGGGGAGGGAGGGAACGTGCTCCAACCTGCTGCGGTGTCCCTGGCTCAGCGGCACGGGCAGCAGCCTGAGCCCTGTGGGTATTTCTGCAGCGCTCCCGTGGGTCCCTCTTAAAGAGTCCTACCGATACCAGCAATAAAAAAGGGAAGTGGCTTTAGGCAGACATCCTTGATCAGCTGCCAACTCTCCACCCTTTCTCAGCAGCGCTGTTGCTGGGTGGTGCTGCCTTTGCCTGCCAGCTGCTGTCTCCTGCATGGGCGGGCGTGGGGAAAGCCCCTTGTGTGGCTGCACACCGAGGCCATGGGCCATGCCCCACCAAAATGGTACGTGTCGAGGCAGGGGGGAGGGTGTTGGGGTGGGTTTTTTGCCTTTTTTTTTTTTTAAAACTAGGCAGATCCACCCCCCACCAGTTACTGCCCTCTACATCAGCTACCTACTCACGCCAGGCCACCCCACCAAAGTAAATAGCAGAGCGGTTGGCAGGGTCATGGAATACCAGTGGCTCATCAGCCCTCTGGAATGCTGGGGCAGAGGAGGGCTGTGCTGATACTTGAGATGTGAGATGCACTTCAGCCTTCCACGCTCCAGCAGACAAAGCTGTCTTACAGGCTGCCTTCTTTCCTGTAAACCACGTGGTCATTTGCCAACTTAGTTTCGCACAAAAATTTTTTTTATGGGTATCTCAGTCCTGTACAGCAATAAAAATTTTTGCAGCGTGCAATCATTCCAGCCATTTTATCTTATCTGGTGACCTGCCTCGGACACCAAGATGTAGGTGGCTGTTGCCTGGGGACTGTTAGTTGGAATAACAAAACGAGGCTCTTGGGCGTTCAAGGAGGCTCGATGCTCACACACCGCAACAAGCGTAAGAGAGGTGAGTCTGTGTGTGTGTGTCGGAGCAGGCCCCTGCTCAAAAACCAGGTGCATGCCCTGTCTCGGGGGAGGCAGGATGTGGCTGCCTCAGAGCAGCTCTAGGTGCGTTACCCTCTTCCCCTGCTCGCTGGCTCCAGCCCTGGTTCTGAAAGCTGTGTTAGTCCACACATGGCAGCAGTCTGGCTTCTTTCCCCAGGCACACATTGTCACTAGAAGTTGTGGGTTGGTTTGTTTTTTTTTTTTTTTAATCTGAGTACAAGTCTTTATTTAGTAGACTTATAAAAGAACTTTACATGAGAAGTACAAAAATATGAAATAGGCTTTGAATCTTCTTAGGTAAAACTACCGTTATTTCTTTCAAGCTTTAGAAACATGTAACTTGCACAGTTGGCATCTTAGGTAAATTGCTCTCATACATTGTAAAACTAGGAAAAAAACTTCCCGTAAAGTAGCTCCAGAAAAGTAGCTGTACGTACCCAGTCATACACATTACTGTCAATAACTTATTAGTTTAAGACACAATGGCACAGTCATACAAATTCCCACTTTGTAATTTCTCCTTTAATGAATTCCATTGAAAGATGCAGTATCACTTTCCTCTTCCAGTTGTTATAATATGATTGAATATAAACACAAAACCGATTAAGAATGATTTGGCATGCCTTATACTTGTACCACTTGGATTTGATACCACTTTGTAGTAAAAATTAAATAAATATAAATATGTTAAATAAATATATTGTAAAAGAACACCCCACTTACTTATATTAGAATTCAGCATTTCTTCATCCTTTGCACACACTTAATGCTTTGTCACAGCTTTAGGGCCAATGAAAAGAAATACTGCATCTTTAAAAACATAGGCTCGCTTGGGTGTAATCAGCAACCCCCTACAAACAGCAGATGGGGTTCCTTTACAGCTTTATCGCACCCATTAAAACCACTGCCTATGATTTCACTGTTCCGTACATCTCTCATTGTTTCCTATTTAGCTCCCTTTTCCCCAGGACTCATTTTACCTCTGGCTCTGCAACTGGCAACCCTTCTTTATAAGAAAGTAAGGAACACTTGCAGTAGATAAATGATTAGCCTCTTGCGCGCAGCTCACAGCTGACAGCAGAGTATTTTTCTGAAGTTACTTGTGTAGGTCTGTTCTGATACTGTGATTTAAGTCAACGACGGTTCAAGCTCTTCTGTGAATACTGGTTGATATTTAAACAATGAGGCTTAATGTCAAAGTAGGTAAACCTGTAACTGATTTTTCAAGTCAGTATTTTTTTAGAACTTCATTGTATGTGCTCAAGTATGAGGGACTAATTTGCCAGGGTAGTACTGATTAAACAGAAATTGTACTCTCTCTACTGTATTTTGGATAATCATAAATGATTCCCTTTACAATCACTGTGGTGTGCCTGATGCATAACGTGGCGGTAGTGCAACGGCAGATTCTGATGATTTGCTACAACTAAAAGGCTCCTTTCGCAGATCCCAGTCCCTAGTAATTGTATGATTCCAATCACTGTATTTTGATTCTTTGTAGTAAAACATATCAGCTATAAAATCACATACAGTACAGGGATATTGGGTGACGGTTATATCCAGCTTTTGCTCTCCATTTTCACTGTCTTGAAAATTGCCTTGGAATAACTCCATCACCGGGGTCATTGCTTTTCTGAAGTGACCACTTGCTCCTTGGGCTCCTACCATCTCCTGATCCAGCGCAGGCAGAGGTACAAGGCACTTTTTGGAAGCTTGGTTTCTTCAAAGAGAGAGAATTCAGCTCTTTGATCCCACTTTTCCCTGCTAAAGGTAGGCCTGTTTCACAGCCCTGTGCTTGGAATGTCGGTCCCAGAGAAGAAAGCTCCATCCCTCTCCTCTCAGACAGTGTCTCCTGCAAGGCTCAGCTCTGCAGAGTCCTGATTATAGTAATGCTGAAACAGTCTTTCATGGCAGCAGATATGCATAGCATTGTAGGTATGTAGGAGCAGGTGAGGGAAACGAGCTGTAAAGTAACATACAAAATCATCGGGGATGGAGCCCAGGGTCTCCTGCACTTCAGGAGGCAGTTCTCTGTAATGGTGCTTCTGTAAAGGAAAACAGAATAGGGAAAAGCTCAGTCAGAGGGTACGTGTTCAAGGATCCTCTTTGAAATAGAGCTGTCTTTTTCACGGACAAAGTAACCTCCTATTAGTCCATCGTAAAGGAGCTCAATACCTAAAACAAGGTAAGAAAGATAGACATAGACTAGCAACAAACAGCAAATGGAGGCAGAACCACAGTGTGCGTGTTGCTTATGGAAAGAAGTCCTTTACCTTATTTCTCATTGCCCTCAGAAGATCCCGTACTGAGCCTCCTTTATAGGATCTGAATTTTCGAAGATCTGCAAAAGAAATTACAAGATTTCTTTTTGTGTTTTGATGCAGTTTTAGTTGCTGGCCTCAAAAGTAAGGTATGTGTGCCTACAGTCACATATCCTTATAGGTGTGTTTCAATATATAAACATGTACTTTAATTTGAAGAAATACTTTTCTGACAAGTAAAGGTCACGTGCCAAAACTGAGACGGTGTTATCCTTACTTTCCTGTCCCGGCAAACTGGGAACAACAGCATGTAACTCCTTTCCACTCTGATAAAATACTATCCATTACCTGTCTGAAGAGGAACAGTGATGTGCTCTCTCCAGTCCATCTTCACCACCTCTCTTCCACCTCTTTCTAATTGCTTGACTATTGGACCATCTAAAGATTCTTTCTCTATCCGGTCACTAACATCCTGGAAGAGACATTCAGGTTATTTCTAGTTTCATTTCCAAGCTTTTCCCAATGATTTAAAATTGCTGCTTCTGGCCAATTACAGCCTGTCCTGATAACAGAGTTACGATTCTACTTTACTCAATGACAAGGTACAATACAATGCGTTATGCTTGGGCCCGGGATACAGAAGTTTCTGAGATAATGAGTTGTTTCACCCTCTGCCAAAGCCTTTTAATCACAGAGTAGAAGGTAAGGCTGGAAAGAACCTCAGGCCCTCAGCCCGTTTCCCACCCCACATCAGGATTAAGTGTGCATATTCACTGCAGTGGGCTACCCTGTTCTTGAAAACCTGCCTGGCAACAGCTTCCCCTGCATTGCTACTGCAGCTGCTAGAGATCTTCCTCACTCCAACTGAAGTTGGTAACATCACGTTCCAGCCCCGCTATAAAAGATCTTCTGTAAGGCTAAGCCAATTTCTTAAGAGATACCACCTAGGTATTACAACTTTGCTTCTTCATTCCTCACAGTAAGGTTGTGGATTCTATCACCTCGAACATCCACAAAGCTAGGAGAGACTGAATTCAAGATTTGAAGAATGTTTGCAGGAATCCTTAGAACTGAAAGAACAGAAAAGGTCAACACAAACCTGAAAAAAATGGAGCTGTTTTTCTAAACTCCAAAAGAATGGGTGTTTTAGCACACAGCTGGCAGACGGACGTTTCTGAGGGTCCATGTTTATCATTTGCTCTATTAAATCACGAGCAACTATGTCTTCTGCAAGGAAAAGGGTGATAATTCTTAGGCTGTAGGGAAATCTAATGATGTTTTGTACTTTAGAACACCATTATGTTCTCTACTTCTTCCACACTATCCTGAACACTAGCCCCACTAGCTCAAGTACTGCCCTCGTAGATATGCTGGGCAACCAACAGAAAGTCAGCAGTGTTTGAAGATCAAAGTTCAGCTCTTCCATACCCTTGAACTACATGAAATAACTCTACAGTCAAGCTTGCAGGGTTCCAAATTTTGTATCCCAGAGATGCTTTGGGGTACTAATTCTAAGAACTTCAGGAGCTTTACTTCAGGAGTACTTTACGAGTACGACTTTCACCACTGCCAGGTTGGCAATCACTGTGGGTCATAGGTCTGTCATTTCTGTTGGTATTTTAACACCCATGGAAAGCTCACTAAACTCCGTAGCGCTTTATGTTTACCGTGATTTTCTTACCGTGCCTCCCTGCATTTAAAGACTCCAGGCTGTATGCACCCAGCAGAATGTTGGCTTGCCGCTGTAGAGATTTGCCAAAGGGATGGCTGCCTTCAGATACCACATAATAAAAGACACAGCCAGCTGAAAAGATGTCCACGGTATATGTCTGCAAATAAACAACCTTTAATAGCAATAACACTTTTTTTTTTCCCCTGAAGACTTTGAGCCATCATCACAGGGTGGTTATTTTGCATCTAAGAGCAGAAGAAAACTTTTCAGAATCACATATTCAGCTGCAAGCCAGCATGAATGCAGGGTTGGACTAGATGACCTTTAAAGGTCCCTTCCAACCCAAACTATTCTATGATTCTATGAATTCCCAGGCATCAACTACTGCGTATCTTAGTCTGACTGCAACAATGTGCCACTGGTTGGTTGTGCTGCCTTCTCCCGGGGGAGCCTGATGGAAAGATGAAGACTTACAGGGTTCTCTTTGCAATCTTCACTCAGCATCTCTGGGGCAATCCACCCTTCGGTGCCTGGCACACCCGACCGACGGCTAAAGCTGTGCCTGCCCACTGCCAGCTTCTTGCACAGGCCGAAGTCTGAAATCATAGCTTTGACTTTCCCATGGGCGTTAGGCATCGAGATGAGGATGTTATGGGGCTTCAGGTCCCTGTGGACTATTATAAACACCCATTTATCCACTCCAGGCAATCCCAACGATATTTGTAAATTTTTTATGTAGTTGCATTGTAAACCTTTCACAAGGCTGAACCACCGTTCCTTAAATCAAAGTCCTAACCTCAAACTATTGTCTTTGGTGGAGGCTCATCACTTTTTTATTCCATCACCACTGGTCATCATGTTTTATATGACTTCTATCCAAAAAACGCAGCACCCCGAACAAATGGTAATGACTAGCTTTACTACTCCAGTGCAGCAGAATGTTACAGGGGCAAGGCCGGTCTCAAAGGACAGACACTATTGCTGCCCGCACTAGGTGGCGCTTCTACAACTCTCTCCTGGGATTGAATAAACAAGCTCCCAGCACCAGACCAGTTTCTCTCCTTTTTTTTAGTTAAGAAAATGTACCACTCTCCATCCAATACTGAAACAAAAGGCATTCTTACCAATACTAAGAGAGTGCAGGTAAGCAAGACCAGATGTCGTCTGTTGCAGGAGAGTGATAGGTTGTAAGCCATGGTGACTGAAGGCCTTCTGCTCAACATACTATAAATTACAACAGAGAAACGGAAGATTCAGCCACAACATTGCTTATCATTACACTCTGTGTAAATAGTAAGTATATCCCCTTCACACACACATCCCCCCAAAAAAAGATTAGACTCGATAAATTGTGCTAGCTGGTAACACACATAAAAGAGCCTTTTTTTTTGGCTGAAGGTGATGATCTCTAAAACGTCATTCAGAGCTAGAATTCTATATAGCACTGTGCTCCAGAAGCAAGAGTAGAGGGACTTCAAAGCCCTTAAATCAGTACAGGGATGTCTTTCTAAAGGTCTGAAAACACCCCTGTCATAGGAGTGTGTAATTGTCACAGAGGTGATGGTGGGAGTAATGAGAACATCTCCTGCGGCAGGCACTTCAGTAACTTAAGCTAAAGGAAATTGAAGGCCTTCCAGGGAGAAGACTTTCACAAATTCTGTAGGTTTGCAAGTGACCCATCACCTCCTGTAAAGTGGCAGCACACAGCTCAATGGCTATGTACTGAAACTGCCGGTCCTTCTCCGTGCAGAAATAGCGGATCACGTTAGGATGCTCATCTGACTCTCGCAGCAACTGTACTTCACGGTCTGCAAAGCTGAAGCACTCAGGAAGAATTCTTTTCACTGCAACATCGCGGTTATCAAATGTCCCCCTGCAGACAGGAAGGAAAACCACAGCAACCTTTTACGCTCTCTGTAGACAAAGCATGTACAAACTGAGTGACAACAGAAGACATTTTACAGAGGCATATTAAAGCATTTCCCATGCTGGAAACAGATACATTTGGTCATTAAACATTTCTAGGGGAAGTGAAGTAGTTTTTGCTAGTGCAGAAACACTGCATGAAAATATTCCAGACACATGCAAAATACCTTTTCAAAGTTTCATTTCTGTTCATATTAGATACATGGTTTGTTGTTTGTTTTTTTTTTTTTTTTAAAAAAACATAATGCAAAAAACCATATATGCGTGCATGTGCATGTATGTGCACTTATATACATATTTAATCAAGTTTTACTTACTTGATTTTGTTTATAAAAATACTTACTGTGTTTTTTTTTTTTTTTTTTTTTTTTTAAAAAGACATAATGCAAATAAGACCTTCATTGGTCTATTTAATGCTGAATGTACATATTGTCTTCTACCTGTAAACAATTGTCCCTTCAGCTCCGTGCCCCAGTACATCTTTTGGGTTAAACGAAATCTTGCCAACCATCACTCTGTTTGCATCTTCATCTGAACAAAAAACAAGAAACAAGGACCGGTTTAGGATGGGTCAAGTCAGCCTTTTACAACTACACATCCTTCTGGGCCAGTATATAAAAGTCTTTTTGCTCATGTTTAAATTAACAACACAGATAATCAAAACAAACGAACATCTGCATTTTGGTACTCACGGTGAGTAGGCAAATACTCTCTGGTGACCAAATAATCCAACATACAGAGTCAAACACATTCTGTACACACCACCCGACCTCAGGTCTGGAAAGATCATGTCTCAAGACAGTATAAGGGACTAGTGGTTCTCAGCAGACAAACTCCTTCTAGAAAGTTTTATAGATGTCCTGTTGGGTTTAGGAAAAGCTGACTGACAGTTATGGAAGTGGGTTTACTATTCCCCTGAGTAGCCTTTGAAGGGACAAAAGAGTGCACAGGAAGATCAGGCAGGAATGCAGGCCGTGCTGCATAATCTTTATTTCTTGACTCCAGTTAATTGTAATAATACGTATTTTTATTTAAATGAACTTCTCCCTAGAATGGCTACAGGTTGTAAGAATATACCGCCACAGACAACATAATCCCTCAGATGGCAGCTACGAACTGGATGTTTTTCTAACGCAAATCATCCTGCTCAAAGTCAGGGCATGGCACACCTGCACAGTGTTTTGCAAATGGTCAGACTAAATGAGAACGATGGTCCTTTTCAGCTTTCTGATCTGTGAAGTATCATCAATAAGTATTTTAATTGTTGTGCTGTATCATCATACAGACTGGGGAAATACAGAGACTCGCAATAAAAGACACGGGATCAACCCTACCTCCCTCTTCTTGCTCAGTGGAGAGGCAGCTCCCAACATCAGATGTGGAGATGCTGGAATACGCGGAATGGTTTGATGCTCTGGGGGACATATTTGGTGTGCTGGTAGCTGAGCTCTCTGTCCGTCCATAGGAGGTGTCCAAGAAATCTGCTTCTGGGGGTAGATCACTGGGAGCACGGAAGGGCAGCTTCTGTTGCTGCAAGAGCTGTATCTTCTCTTCCAGCTGATGCTGCCTCTGTTGCTGCTGATGTACACTCTGTGAGAAAGGACCTCAGTTCCGTAAGTGGAGTGAAGTTTCTTACAGTCACGTCACAAAAGGGAACTCTATAGCTATTGGGGTAGCTACATCCAAAAGGTGGGAGGAAAGCTTTCTTGTTATGACGCTATCAGCCAAGCAGGCTGGGGAACTTTCACTCACATGCCTTCAATTTCATTCTGAACTTCCATTGCAAAGCTGAGAAATCACACTGGTTGGTTAATACGGCAAAAGCTAACTGTTACTAGGTTGACTAGGTGTCTTTAAACCACAGAAGGATAAAGGCTTTGATCCAAAAGCTGGAAAACCTGACAATGGTTCAGGTGAGGAAGAGAGGAGTGAAGCCAATGGTGCTAAGATCATGTCTGTGAAAAGAGTAACACATACAAAAAACAGAATTGGTGGGATAAAAAAAAATAAATCTCCAGAGTTGGCACATTTGCCCAGAGAAATCACTGTTACGTCAAATTTGTAGCCTTTGCTACCCACTGCACATCTGTGAGGAGGGAAAAAAAAACCCTGTAGTGTGTTACTTTCTAACTCCTGTGTCATTTCTTGGGCTGCAAAATGTTACTGACTTTCCCAAAACTGAAAAGCACATCAAGCTAAGTCAGCATTACCATTGGATAAGTGATGATAAAAGCCACCCAGCCCACAAGCAGGAAAGTGCTGAGAATGATCGTGGCCATGTCTTTCAACATGGAGTCCACAGGAGCCTCTGGCCGAGGGATAGGCCAAGCAGGTTTCTCCTCAATATCCTTTGGAACAGCAGGAGGCACTTCTGTTGAGGAACCTTCAACGATGTCAATAACCTAAGAGGCAAAGAAAGCTCTGTTAGCTCGGTATCTTCATGGTAAATGGAGCATTTATACGCTAGCCTTTCTGCTAAATAATTTTTAGCAATTTCTAACCCTACCAAAGTCAAAGGAAGTTTTGCATGTGGGAAAAAAAAAAGCAGCTGAAAGCCCTAATTCTGAAATAAGGACTGACACATCATCATACCCGTGATTCTACATGCTAAGTACGTGAAAATCTGACACAAAAAATGTGAAGTAATTCCATGTAGCTTTCCTTCTGAGTCCTTCCCCAACTTCTACTCCTTTATATTCTTCTATCATCCAGTACGATGATTATTCTCGTCACAAACCTCTTCAATAGTGGCTTTATCAGAGTCAGCCGGAATCACATTTTCAGGCCTCTTAGGTAAGTTGCTTGGAAATTTCTCCAGGATCTTTGTAGGGGCAGATAATGGTGTTTCATGGTGCCCTTTAAATAAAACACATTTGTTGAAATAAAAAGTTGTCCCTTTTTAGGAAAGATATCCTTGATTTCAGCATCTTTGCTGAAGAGCATATATAAAGTTGATTTACAAAAGGCTTGGGAACATCACAGAACAAAAGCTCAAATTAAAACACTTTTTCCCTCTGTCCTTCCCAAGCAGTCACAGGTATAGTGATCACAATCCTGAGGAACAATGTGCTCATGCACTGGCTGTGGATTTGGTTCCTGACCATTAGAGGAACACGCATTATGCCTCCTAGCTGGCTCACTCGCAAGGTAGTTTTGCTCTGTGATGCGGCCTTGAGGCGAAGATCATGTTCTAGATATGAAATGGTTCCGACGGGAATGGATCGCACTGCGCAAGAAGCAAGAATCGATCCAGCACTCAGCTACAATTGCTCTTCACACTCTGGCTCGTGCTAGCCAAGTAAGTGAGAAGAGGGAGACACTACTGTGCTCCCAGCTTTTGCAACTGGAGTAGACAGAGGAAGACTCCTGCTCATGTATAGAGGAGGAAAGAGAAAGGAGGGAAAAGATCAAGGGCACGGGTCATTCAGCGCAGAGGGTTGCAGAGGAATACGAACTGTTTAAAGGGAGCCGCTTGACCAACTGCAAGAGCAGAACAGTATCAACAAAGAAAGGGATCACAGGAAGAGAAAGGTGGCAGTTAAGGAAGCTGAAAGTTACAACCCGTCCCTGCCACAGAGATCCTATGGCATATATCACTTAATTATAAACTTGCATCACTTAAAACTGAACTTCAGACAGTTCATTTTTGAAGCAAAATTATAAATGCCCTGAAAAGTCAATTCCAAAATTTATTAATATTATCTTCAGCCTCTGTGCCTTAATCCTCCATTTGTAACATGGGGAAAAACATGACCCTTTGATCCGTATGGTGAGAATTAAAGTAGCATTATGCACAATAAAAAAATCCAAAGGAACCAGAATACAATATTTAGAGTAAATAATTAATTATCTACACCCCTCTCTGAAGGAGGGGGCAAATAAACAACTTTTCACATATTGAGCTAAGCACTCTTCACCCTATGCACTGAATAAAGCAGGGGCCTTGGGAAAAACAGTATGCAGTCGTATACTTAAAGACATTAATTCATATGCAGATAAGGATGAATTAGAAACTATTAGTAGAATTCAGTAATTACTGCCTGAGTTTAGGCAGTCATTGTGACTGATTTACAGCAGCTGAAAAACAGCTCTGAGGTTTGGATTAGAATTGTCCGCCAGATGGCAATGCGATCCTGCACGAGCAGCAGACCAGGGCCAAGCAAGGGACCTCGGATACCTATTAAAAGCCAGTCGTTCCAGTAGTTGAGTTTGTTCTTTTCTTTCAGTCTGCCTGAAAACTTGACATCCGTACTGGGGGTGATAACACACTCGCCATTGTCTTCAATTGTGACTCCTTCTGTTTTTGGACCCTCTAGTAAGGGTATGGCACTGCCGCGGGGCTAGAAAGAGAGATTATTGTTACAATCAAGGAAGCACTGTGTTCCCATAATATTTAAATAGGCAACTAAGTAAAAAAATGGAGGTCAAAAATTACTGGCAGCAAACTCACCATAAGTAAACACTGCCATTATGCCCTCAGCCACTGCTTCAACAACCTTGGACATTAGACCTTCTAAATTACATGTTGCCTAGGAGATGAGATTACTCTCTCTTTTTTTAGAAAAGTTAAACAAGATCTTTATTTCCTACCTGGACAGCCACAGTGTGAGCAAAACAAAACTATGATGCAGTTTCCTATCTATGGGGAGTTAGTTTGATGAACAAAACAGCAATTTTGACATTAACCACAATGCACCAACAATACTGCATAGCAACCTCTGGTCCACTCCTGCTAAGCTTGCCTGGCACAATTCCTGATGAGCTACAGTTACTTCTTTGCAGCATTTGAAATGATTCCTGAAATATGGTCATGCATTCTAAGGCTTACTGTTAATTGTTTCATGTAATTTGCTATGCATTTCTTGATAGCAATCTGCAATTTAAAACCAAATTTCTGTAGATGTACAGCCTTCAGTGTTTTATTTTCTATTTTAATCAGATCCCTTTGCCACTTTACAATGGCAAAGTTGTCTTTTTTTTTTTTTTAATATATTTTTATGTATGTTTCCATTTCAACTTTTTTTTAAACCCAGGACGGTACTAATTCTGTAAAGGCACTTTTCAGCAGGTGTCATTCAACTCTTGCAGCTCCCGACTTACCACAACAGTTACTCCTTCATGCACCATTGACGGCGACGCATACAAACTTGTGGAGTATTTCCCTACATAGAGAGTTGGTCTGGAAAAAAAACAGTAAAGAAGTAGACAAACGGGTGTTTTACCATCTTAGCTAAAACCTTGGCAACACAATCCTGCAGAACTAATGCATGAGTTTCTCAAATCATCAAAATTTATATCTTGAAAAGCCTGGATCTGTAAAATTGTTTTAAGTACTGCTGTACTATGAAGCCATTCTTTTTAATTATGAAAGCATTATTAGTTGATTATTCACGTCACAATTACTCATTTGACGTAACTCATGTCCTATTTCTGCATTATTCAAGAACTGGTATTTGCCAAACTGCTATACACCTTTTTTATAGTGTGAAAGGCAATAAAAAACAATTCCATTCCACATTATTAAGAAACTATTCAACACAGAACATCTGATAAAAGTTATGAATATACATTTCCTAAGTTTATGATTTTTTTTTTTTGTCTCTGCCTTTAGACAGTAAAAGTTCAAATATGATATAAAATAACGGCTGGAGAACTAGAGCTGCTTTTATGTGTTCTTTTCACCATCTTGAAACGTGTAGACCAATCCTTAACTGAATGGATATAAATAAGGTTTTAATGACAAAGCTCTGTCAAATAGACAGTGAGAACAACAGGAATATTGATGCTTACGTCAGTTTGCTCTTGGTCTCTGTTTCCTTTGGGAATGGATATTTCCACTTGGTAATGTGTCCAACCTCCCCAGACATGAACGTCAAGTATCGCAGAGTTTCTATCCCCAGGTTAGTGTGCATAATTTTCCGTAATCCTTCACGCTGCCAGATGTAAAAAGCTACCACAGGAGAAGCGTAATTCTGAATCCACAGTACATCCCCAGACTCACTGTCTACGGTCACCACCAGTCCATCTCCATTAGACACAAAGTGGGACATTTCTACAATATACAAATATATAGGAGATTATCTGGATTGCTGCAGACACTCAATTTTAATAATACATATTAACAGTTCAAGCCTTATGTTAACTCTGGAGTCCGTTACACCTTACATTGCAAAAGAACAGCTGATCAGTGAATCAGCTGTCAGAATTAGGTTGATAAAAGTTCAGTTGCAATGCAACAGCATTGCAGTAACTTTTTCTAAGCGTGCACCACAGTTTAGGTTTGCTTCCTCTCCTGCCATTTTTCACTACATTTTAAAGAGTCGTATCTTCAAGAGCTGTACCTTCTTAGATTCAATTTACCTGAAGCTACCTAACAGGCTCTAGATATTATGGCATGTAAAGGATAAAAACTGGCAGATGCGTATCAACGGCACAAAAATCAGACAGACAGCTTGACCTATTAATCATAGAAAAAAATCGGAATATTTTTGCCTGTACGCAAAACTCATGGTCAATATGTGTGTGTGTGTAACAAAAAAAAAAGAAGAAAGTAAATTCTTACTGTATTTTATGTCTTCATCAGGCAGAGTAGCTGCATAATCAAAATAGGTGGCATTCCATCGCAGCTCCTTCTTCTTGGTGTCATACATTGTGATCGTGTACTCTGTTAAAAAATATACAGTCTGTGAAGCAAAAAAACCTATGAGAGAATAGAATCGATCATCTCAAATCTGAGATACTCTTCAGAACACCACACACACTACTTACTGCTCTCTGCATTTCATTTTCCCAACACTCCTGATAAATAAACATTTCATAGCTGTTAAAGATAATACCCGATCCACTCATATACTGATCCACAGGAAGCCCTGCAGACAGTTACTGCTCACGTTACCAACGTTTTGTTTTTACTGCACAGCTTCTTCTGATGTACTTTGTTTTACTTACAAGTTTCCAAACCCTGCATTCTAAAATTCAGTATACCGCGTTCTGTAACTGAACTATCACGCTTAAAGAACACATTAATATAGAGGTTAAAGAACAAGTCTGTAACACTTATTCCTGTTTACTAGTCAACACCTATATGGTGTTGGTCTAATTTTAACAGTTATTTAGAATACTGCATTTATAATTTCAGTGGATATACTATATCTCCATTTTCTTTAAACAGTTTTTATAAAAGCTGTATGTTACAGAGCAAACTTGGGTTCACAGCTGCTACTGTTAAACAGAATATAAATGCCACTTAGTCAACAAGAATAATGGACCATGCCTGCTGCCAAAGTTTAAAAAAAACAGTATCTTTCTGCTGCTATAAAAAGTTAATAATTTTTCTGTGTACAGTCTAAAATCACAATTTACGGAAGTTTTTCTAAGAAATAAACTTGAAAGGCTGAACTGATCACAAGGTCATTTGTTATGATCCTAAACTTTAAAAACAATGACAACAACAAATTTTCTTCTAAGCTGCAGAAAAAAAAGCATATGACCTGTTCTCCCAAGATACAGGAGGGATGCTGATGGGCAAAGACTTTCTGCAAATGAGGAAGTTAAGGTCTGCTGTTTCTCCCCAGTCATGAGGTCAATCACGTACCAAATATCCTGCTTTTTACCTGAAATCATAATTTAAGCCACATTACCATTCAGTTGGAAAATTGCACTTCCATCAAGCTTTTCAGTCTTCTTTTTTCTTTAGTAGGCTCATGAACTTAGCATGAATACAGCATTTTCAATACAACAACTTCTCATAGTCAGGCTCAGTTTCATCATTTCAAAGCATTTTCAATAAAACAATTTCTCATAGTCAGGCTCAGTTTCATCATTTAGCACTACTGGCCAATCCAAAAGGTTCATGAAAAACCATAATTAATACGCAAAATAAAGCATATTTCCATGCAGTCTGGGAGTCTCTATATTTTGTAGTCTGCGAACATATTACAATCTAAAAGAGATTAAATTTGAGCTCACCCATGTACAGGATCCCATCTGAACTGCGACAGGGAGATGCCTGCACCAGCTCTGGGATAGTAAATGGAAGTTTCTAGGGGAAAAAAAAACCAATAAAAGCTTATTCATATTGGTGTAATAGTCTTCACATTTTTTCACAGAAAAGGGTAGTCAGAAAACTTCAGAAATCTCAAATGACTTGTTTTTTATTATTTCTTTATATTATTGTAGTGCCTGAGAACTCAAAATTTCAGGTCAAGGCCCTGCTCTGCAAACCCAGAACAGAGAGAAGTCTGTTTCAGTGAGTTTACAACAGGAGAAATGCATGTAGAGTGGAAGAACTGCTTGCAGCTGAGAGGTTAGGAGGCCAAGACTCTGTGGTTTTAAGGTCCACCATCATCACTTACAAACTGTCTGGGCTTCAACGTACCGCAGTTTAATTGTCTCACCTATAACGAGTATGCAATGGTTCTCCACAGGACTGTACAGTAACATTTATAAAGGCCGGATATCTTCATACAAATGAAACTGTTGAGAGGGCGAAGCATGAATCTCCGACTAAAGAGTTCTTGAGATACTGCCAAGCCTGTATTGCACTTACAGAATGGGTGATGATCCTTACTAAATTTCAAGAGACTTTTAATGGGATGAGGTCACAAGAGTAACGGACAAGCTGCACCAACAATAAAGATCAGGCCTTTGCTAAGTTTACTTAAATATGCTAAAATAACTCGAGTCTTGCTTAAAACTTTTATAATAGTGTTTCTAAACAGAAATTAAATTTCTTTAATTCAAAAAGATTAACAGAATAAAGGAATAGATTCAAATAGATTGCTGCTTCCTGGATTCACCCAGGAAAAGAACCAAGAATCCTTTTGCAAGTTATGATCTGGCTGTACTGCAGGGTGGGAGGAGTGGTGAGTAAATACTAAAATATTTAACAATATTGAAGTTCTTAAGGGAAATCATAGCAGCTACCAGAAAACAGAAACTTGTAGGAAGCCAAACATTTTATCTGAGTATTACCACAAAGTTTAAAAATAAAAGTCAAACGTTAGCTAGTATCTGTGTGTTACATGGATTGGTGACTATTTTGAAAAGGTTCACCACTTCTGTCTGCTTACTAAATCTTACAAAGACATCTTCTAAAGGTGTCAGCACGGAACATATATTAATCCTGCCTTTTGGCAGATGGTTTTAGAAAATTAAGTATTTGGGTGAAGGTGACATATCTGATTTGTATTTTTCCGGGTACACCTTTCCCATCAAATCGTACAGAGATTATTCAGTATTTGGATAATACAACATAAATTTTATTTGTCATTAACATCATTATTTTAGCATGTTACAGAAAAACAGTACAAGTGGACAAAACATATGTGTTGTTGATATTTTCAAGCAGAAATTATTTCCTGACGATCACAAGAAAGGTGGCAACTTTCTGCTCTAATAAAATTAAGTATGTTTTCACTCTGCAAAGGTCCTAGCAACACAACGTAGGGCACTGTCATTCCAAAAACTTGTATCCTAACATTGGCATAGGCAGCAGATGCTGGGTTTTGGCTAGTCTGATCAAGCTTTTCCAAGAAACTGGTGCACTTCCATTAAGCAGTACACAAGCCTGCAAAACTTTACAGTACTGTCAAGAAAGCAGAAAGTTCCCTTGGGGACTTATCCTTCGTGTGAGTCTGATTAGGGCATTTTTCTAAAAATTATCAGAGGAGAGAATTTAAAAAATATACTTACAGTCAAGCCTTCACTATTCTTGCCACCAAGCGTATACAAACTGCCATCATTTGGGTCTGGAAGAAATGCTGGCCTAGGATTTAAGCAGCAATTACAAATGATAAAAAATATACTGTGCTTCTCAGAGAACAGGAAAGCAAGTATGGTCAGTACCGGCTTTACAGAGAAGTTCATCTGACATTAAATTTTTTACTTTGTATTATCCTTTATTTGAAGTTTCATTTATAAACTGTGATAATGAAAAAATATAAAGAAGTTTGAGAACCGATATAACAAAAGATTACTAATACATTTGAAAATTCAAAGATCCAAATGTGGCAGGCAATCACTTGGGTGAAAGCTTTTAAACAAGATCTATATGCTTTCAAAATGCCACAGAATTAAAAACAAACCGAATAAATAAACAAAAGCAGAGAGCATAAGGAAGGCAAGGAACAGTAAAAGAGTTGCCAGAACTAAGTAAATTTGAGAGGTAAAGGCAACCCTCCACCCAAACTACAAAAAAAAGCCAAACCCCAACATCAAACACAAACTACAAAAAAGAAAGGATGTTATCACTGACTTCAGAGACATAAAGTTAAAGCCCCAAATTTTCTAGTTAAATGTGAAATTGTTTTGCTGGAGGAACCACTCTGAAGTAACAGCTTGAGGGTTTCATTTGAAGATCCTGGTAGTGATGGTGGTTAGAGTTTCCTATATTTTTAGTCCTTTATTTGAAGAGAAGTACAAAACCCAGAGATCACTCCCCAGCTGTTTCTGTCGTTTTCAAAGCTGCTCAATTAAGATTGCAGCACAGTTAGCACATTTGATCTCCAAACCTGAGCAAGGGCTTGAGAGAACAGTTTGCAGACAGGATGTTTCTTCTCAGCGCTACAAATAAGCGAATTATATGTAGCTAATTCTATCCTTTCTGTACCTGCTCTCTAAACCACCTTAAGTTGACTTATGCAAGGTATGCAACTTTTCTAGAACACAGATATTTTTGGTTCAAATTAAACCAAATTTCAAGAGGTCAGTGAAATCAAACAAGCAGTAAATGAGATAAAGGAAAGACTTACTCTTCCACATGTATTGGCACCTGAAGTACAGGATCTGCATAAACAGAAAAAGTGATAATATTGGCAATTCAATTCCTTGAACTCACTAGATACAGGATTAAGTCAGACCTGCAACAACTTGCTCCTTTTTGAAAGGCTGATGCACAGAGTTTGAAAGGGGCCATCTCAGCAGCCTCAACGATCTCCTGTTTGGTTGTGAAACTAGGTTTGTAAAATGGGAAAGTACAAAGCACCTGAGAAGTTTTAAACCGTCTGAATTTCTTTGCTCAGTTTTATCCACACTACTCCCCAGCTACCCCTGGGAGGAGACTCAGATCAGATAGCAGTACTGTATTGTATCTTGAGTTTTCTCTTTATTTCTCACTTGGACAGAGCATATAAAGTCTGTTAGAACTGCCTGTATACATGTTAATAAAAACTCTTGCTTCCAATACGTGTGTGTGATCGCTGGGCACTGGCTGACCATAACTTGCAGCAACTACTGTCACTGTGCAGGCTTCAACAACCAATTTTACTCAAAAACAAGCTACAGCTAATGGAAGTTTGCAGAGACTGTGAGAACAGGGATACAAAAGTGCGTATCTTGGTATTTTCATACAAGAAGGCCAGCCTAATGCTTTTTTAATCTGTGTTTTATGAAATTCTGCCACTTGGTGTCTCAGGTACCTCGTGTATCAGGCAGGTAAGCATATACTTTCTAGCCAACTCAACATTTAATTTAAAATGCAACATACAAACTGAAAGCCTAGTGCTACACCTACTGAAATGAATGGGAAGACTGCCAATGACTTAAGAGCAAGACTCCGATGCAAATCGGAAAAAACTTAGTGCCACTTCCTACTCCGAGATAAAACCTCTGTGACCAGCATGTCACTGAAAAGAAAAACAGAAGTCTGCCAAGGGCTATACAAAATTACCTCAAACCTGATTTTTTTCATTTAAATAATCTCCCCACTAAATTTTATCCAAGAATCCACATTACATTAAAATCAAAACGTTTGGAAACAATCTCACAGTAGTTGGTATTTTGAGTGATCAGAATCACAGTTTAGCTTTCATCAACAAAAATAAAAACCGACAATGCTAAATCTAGATCCTTACATATTAAAAGGTAAATTGAGAACAATAATTTGATTTTAATGTAAGGTGATGTGACCTCAAAATTACTGAGGCCTCAAAAAATCCTGGATCATGGGATTTTCAATCCTGATGCCAAAACAACAGAAGTTCCCAGATTTGTAAGACATACTCTGCAATTTCTAAGACAAACGTGTGTGCTTATTTATGGGTATATTGGCAGAAAGTAACTCAGACGTCAAGAGGATGCAAGGTATCTTCACTTCCACAGAGGAAATCAAACCATTACTCTAGAATAAGCCTGAGTAAGAAGATAAAGGTGACCAAGCAAACAAATACTGTTTTTCCACCTGTTGTGTCTCCATGCAAACATCATGATGCTACAGGAAGGAAATAAGAACAAAACCAATGACATTTGGAGAGCCTTTGATTGGGAAACTGACAGAGATTCTGGACAGCTTGAGCGTACTGTGATATTTGCAGAGTGAAGCAAGACAAGAACAAGAAATTCAGGGTTCATTATATGGGTCTTACAAAGTCTCTACCACTCTACAGTAAGTATATTGCACCACATGAACTGCTGGGTTTGATGATAACGCGTAGGAGCATGTCCCTTCGTTTTATGTAACAGATTAAAAAACCATAAGAAACCCCTACCCAAACAGATCTCTAACAGCAATGCAGCTGAAAACAGCAGTCACCAAAAGATGCACATATAATATCAGAGACAGAAAGAAATCACAATATGAGGAATAACAATAAAGCTATTTTTATTTTCATCAATTTCTTTTTACAATAGTAAACACTCTCAGAGCAGCTTTATTCAAAACATAACTACTTTTGGGTTTTTTTTCTCTTTAAGCCTAAAAAATGTTCCAGATACATCCTCAAAGCTTTCACAATAAACTACTCAAAAGCATATTAAGCTTCTTGGAACAACCCAATTAACTGGAGAGGGAACAGTGCTCTACTCAAGCACTGAATCATACTACGCCTAGCAAACTCACAGCTCAGTGAGCAGACTTGTCAAGTTTCATGCTTTACCTATTTCCCTCATCACATGGTTACTCACCACTGCACTGGCATCTCCTGCATTGGCAAGATCATCATCAAACACAGTCTCCCTCCACATCACAACAAATTCCCTCTAATGCAGGGACCCTGCAGACCTGCAGAGCTGTGTGCCGGCTCTGGGAAGAAACCCACTGGAGGGCACAGACACAGCCTAGTCATGTTATCTTCTACTCGGAGCCTCACACATAGGGCAGCAAAAACGCTGAGATAATTTAGCTGGTACTCTTAACAGTCCTAGGCACTGACATGTAGCCATAGAAGACGGAGAGCAAGAGTACCTATCTTGATCAATTTTTCTCTTAATGATGAATTATCACCATTACCACTGTTCACTGATGTAAGATGAGAATGCTATGCAAGTGTAGAGCTCCACATTGTATCACAAACTCCATTTAATTTATTGAGAACCCAAGTACACATCAAAAGGCCCTAAGAATAATTAACATTCAGACAAAGGAGCTAAGTGATTCATTGTTATATATCTGTCTCTACAGACCACAGTGCTTAGTCAGACCTTTATTCCCTTAACTACATCAAGCAATTCATTTCTATCCCTTGTGTGAAGAAACTGGTTTCAGGATATCTTGGGAGGGACTCCCCCCCTCCAAACTTACAGTTGATTACATGCCAATTATTTCTCAGTGTTTGCTTCAAGTATTCCACAAGCTTTACGATATCTAATGCAACACATGGTGACTTACAACACCATCTCTCCATTACTAAAGGAAAGCAAGCAAGAAAAAGCATTAGCTGACCATTACATAAAGTGGCTCAACTCTGGAGTTGAACTGCTAGGTTGAACTACTAAAAGCAAACAGACATCAAGTTTATATACTCAATGTATCTGTAAGTGTAGGTGAAATGAACTAAAAGAAGAGACATTAAAGACCATAGGCTAGAGTTCTTATAATCATAAATGCTTCATGGCAAGGGAAACTCTCACAGTCTTGTGGAAAGAACAGCATCATAAATCAGTAGAAAATGGCACCTGCCTCAGTTGAAATAAGATTTCAAATGCTATAAGCATTGCTAAACGCAAAAGCCAAATAAACTTTGCAAGTCTCTTGATGAACTGATTACACAGACAGTGTCTCACTTGGTAAAAAATAAACTGTCGCCTCTGGTGATGATGACTATTGCTAGACAACAGCAATCTTCACCAACAGTGCTCAAGCAACTTTGTCGTATCTACAAACATCTCCTCAAATGATCGTTAGTGATAACAAAGCTGCACAACTTGTTTTTGAAGTGATAACTGACTGCATATACATTGTTAAGTACAGTAATGCTGATTTTCTTTAAGATCACTTTCTAGCCTAGGCAAAGCATAAGAAAATAGTTTCTTGTCCAAATTATCTTCAGAAACTTTTAAATTTAATTTTAATAAAAGGACTGCTTAGTCTCTGAATTAAATGGAGGTGTGAAGTTGTTACATGAAATTACAGTATAGAACTAGTACTATCTGAATCAAGTTCCAAATTTTCTAACTACAGTTGCTGACATAACATGCACTCTACAGTAGAGCAGGACAGAATGCGATTTCCTCAAACATAGTATTTCAGGTTTTTTTTTCAAAGAATGCTCAGAACACCTGAACAATTACAGGAAATTTCAAAAGGTAGATTATGTTTTCTAGCAACTGATCCTGGTTTGTCCATGACATTTGCAGGAGAGTCTGGTTAGTAATGCTTTCCGATAGCTCCCTCTTCTGCCCCCAAAATACAGTGAATGATAATAATAATACAGTACAGCATTTTTGGACTAATAACTTGTTTTCACTTAATTTTCTAAGACTGGGCAATCTACTTTTACAAAAAAAAAAAGTGCTCCACTCTGCTCCAACTATCTCAAAGGTCTGAGAAGTTTTGCATGATTTTATCGACCACGTAGTACCATAATAGTGAAAGAACACACACACACACATATATATGCAATATTTACTTGCATTAAGCTTTTACCCCCAAGCTTATATTTCTGAAAGCTGTTGGAAAAATGTCACTCATAACAATTTCATCAACAAATGTATCCTACACTTTAATAAACAATGCCAGAAATCCCATGAATGTCTCCAACTTCTGTAGTGCGTTTTTCTGAAGCACTCTTGCATATCAGAAGACATGAATGAAAGCCTTATGAAAAGTTCCAAGCCATTCAGTGCTGTTCAGAAGCATCATGCTCATGAGAAAGTCCTTAAAGTTTTCTTTAGTATCATGTCTTCAATATCAAGAACAACAGTGCTTCATCAGAAGTGAAAAAATCCTGCTTTTACTTGTTTTCTCAGTAAGTGAAATTTGATTTACTAACAATGATAAAGAAGAGGTAGATGGAACAGATTAAGATGTTATTACAAAGCAGCAGGAAATTTTTTTTAGTACTTGCTGGCACATGAACCAAAGCACTGATTATTCTGATGGTTTCCTGCAACATTTAAGTGTTGTGTATGAACTGTTAGAAAGCATTTAGTATCAATATCTGATTCATTTCCACGCATGAGGCTATTCACAATGCGTGAACACAAACTGATGGAGGAGTTTATTTTCTGAAGTGAAAGGAATTCTCCTTTCACTACTAGCACAATCCACCTGGAAAGATGGGCTATGGTATTTTCCAGGTGGCACAATCCACCTGGAAAGATGGGCTATGGAGAGCCATTTCTCTACATTTTTAGCTACTGGAGTGATGTAAATTTTCTCATTTTCTGTCATGATCTTGAACTAAGGTTGTAAGCTCTGCAAAGGTACTTTGAAGACAGACAATGAACTCTTCACATTCACTTCCATGTGGTTTGGGACATATTCCAACTTTATTTCAAAGTTTGTTTTGAAATAAGAACTCCCTCTGAGATAAAAAGAGAATCTTGAGTTTAATTTATTGTTGTCAGGT